CTAGATCTCCACTTCAAAATTTGACAGTTGTTAATTTTGTTATAATGTTCCATCATGGCTCGTTTTAAAAATAATTCTGCTGACTTACTCGATGATTTTTTATTTCTTGATATAGTCTATCCGTATACAACTCGACAATTAAAAAAAATTCTATAAACTTGAAGAACTGTCTAAAAATATGCCACTCAACCTGCGGTCTCTTGGTGTTTCAGGCAATACATCTCGTATAATCGAGAATTTTCAGGTGGCCCGTTGTATAATACTATAAAATTTATTGTACGTTTATTTTAGAATTTTTAAAATAATTTCTGTGAAATTTAGATGAGCTACTTGCATTTTTTGGCAGTTCTACAGCTCTACATGCTCCAGCCGCCACTGGTTATAAGTACTAATAAACTTAACAATAATTAATGGAATACCCATAAAACTAATTAATATTATTTACTGCTTGTTGTTGATATGCGTGACTTATAAAAAAATCATGAGATAATAACAGAAAACAAACACATAGCGTAAAAAACACATAAACTGGTGGATATACAATCTTTTCCTCATATTCTTACCCATTTATGGAGTTCCTATTCATCCCATGATACCCATTTCCCTCTAATACATGTTTTTGAAGATTTCTATCTTTGCTACATGCATACATTTTTTTTGTGAAAAAACACTCCATAAGAGACATTTTTTAATATTACAATCTGATCAAGAGTTGGTCAATGAGTAATTTTGTTATAAACTAACCTAACTAGGGTTGCAATCTTAAAAACTAAAGTTCTACTCGCTAGTATACCTTAGGGTCCGATAACTTAATTAGGTACACTAAACTAACGTGTAACACTAAACCGCACAATGCTTTAAAACAATCACTTGGCTAACTCAAAAGGTTTCACTCTCTTGATTCTTCTTGTCAGGTTCGTGTTGTCAAGAAGCTGGATCGCCTCAACGTTCACATATTGGTGGAGCCGTTGTTCGTGACTCCTAGCGAATCTGATGAATCAACAGTGTCCATCTGAAGGTCTTGATGAAGGTGGCTGTTTCTAATGTACGAAGGAGCATCGACAATGTTCCTCAATACTTTGTTCTGAAATATTTGGAATATTAGAATATTTACTGTAGCTGGCACAACGCCAGAGCTAAACGCCATAGGTCCAAATTGGTTTGACAACTTGTTTATATAATAATAATAATAACTCTTGCATCAGCGAAGTCTTGCATCTAATGTAATACCTACATATTTTTCCGAGTTAGCATAAGAGACCTGAGCATTATTTATGTTAATTGGTATTCTTTGACCATTTTTACTAGTAAAATTAATATTAACAGATTTGGTTCCGTTTAGTTTAATATGCCATCTTTTGGTCCAATTATTTATTTGATTAACTGATGTTTGTAGTTTATTTGCAGCCTCTTCATAATCTTTGCCTATCGCTAGGATGGCAGTATCATCTGCAAATGTAGCTATTATGTCTTTTTCTAGTTAGGGTATGTCACAAGTGTATAGCAGATACAAAGTGGGTCCCAAGACGCTTCCCCTTGGTACTCCTGCTTTAATTTCTTTCAATTCAGAGTATGCCTTATCTTGTTTTACTCGAAATAATCTATCTGAAATGTATGAATCCACTAGTATACATTTAAATTTTTTACGATAGATAGCACCAAATTCTCATTTTGATGAAATATAGACTTACACGATATTTGTGGATTAACCAGACGAAATTCATAATGATGTAGATGGGCCGATTATTAGCTATGTTGCAGATAACTGGATAGAATTTTATATAATGCTGTGTGAAAAAAATGAAGATAACTATGACCCAAAGTCCGATTGTAATAGATGAACACATGGGTAGTGTATTTAGGTTGAAATCTGATGGGCGATTCTTTTCGTTTATTTTGGTAAGTTGGCATTTTGATATATATGTTTCACAAAAATTTTAGGTTTCCCAAGTTTTGGACACTGTTATTCTTAAAGTTATAACTGCCAGGAAAATAATGAATACTTGGCTCAATGGTATAGTCATGACTTTGAAATCGAAGGGTCTCAGGTTCAAATCTCGCCGATGACAATATTTTTATTTAATTTAACCAATCAAATATTCTAATACATTGGTAGGAATCTCCACTTGACCATTCACTCTTTGGTGCTTGCTGTCCCTAAAGTGGCGCTGAGAAACGCTCACAAAGCCTATACAGAACCTGAAGCTAATAACCATAGCAGTTGAAGCCGATAATACAAAAAAAACTCCGTCGCCTTCGAGTTAATCCCTTTCTTCTTATTTATTATACTAAATTTTAAAACAAATTTCCCCAAGTCTTAACACAGAAGTAAAACAACAAAAAACAAAGTGTTTGAAACATAAATAAAATACAAACTAATTTAGAAAAAATTGTCTTCCCGAAAAGCTAGTTATAGTAGAGGAGCCCACGATGCTAAATGGGTATTTACTCGAGCGTCATAGAAACCTATTTGTTGCAAAGCTTAGATGATAAGAAGAAAAAAAAATGTCACATAAAAAATATACCTTTCAGCGGTGGGGGAAGCTGCTATAGATTTTTAAATATGTTAAAAAATACTGTTGCATGGACATACTCGAGCGCGTCAGATATTGATAGCATCAATGTTTTACGTATTTTTAATAATGTACGTATGTTAATCTGATCGTTTGCATGATGCGGGTGGTTGTACGTAAGGGTTGAAAATGAAAAAAAATTGAATCGAGCGCGTCAGATTTTCTAAGCGGGTGTTAAGTGAACCAAAAAAGGCTCTCATTCAATAATCTGACGATTTCGATGTGACGTTAACTCGCAGCCATTATTATAATGTGCAAAAAAATTACCTTACTACCGATAATCGCTGCCATCTCCTGATCAGCAAAGTGATCGATCAAAAACTTGACAATAACTTCCTTAAACTTTATATTTTTCAAATCTTTCGTAAAATCTGCTGTTTTTGTTTGTTGAGGACCTCTCGTTCAAAGCATTATAAATTGGGGTCCAGACTCCTCCGGGCCCCTGAGCGTCCGCCTCAAGCGCCCAGAGGATAAACCGGGACTGAGTGAGAGAGGAATAGAAACGCGGAGAGGGAAATATTGGCATCACGCAGCTTTACGCATTAAACTTTATTGACGAATTTTTGTAATTTCGGCTTGCGGAAATTGTCAGATTATATATTTTTCGTTATCCTTCAATTATTTCCTTCAGAATAAAAAAAAAATTAGCTACGCTCGAGAATGTTGAGATGGCGTTTTTTTACAACTTTGCTGCCCTCCCCTTTCTTTACGTCACTCGCAAATTGTCAGATTAGTGGAATATACACTTTTTAGCATGTAATTAACTCACCCTACCTTAATCTGACGCGTTCGAATATTTGTGACGATCAGTTTTTTTTACTTATCTGATCCTTTATCCTTCACGGGCGGCCATATATATGGGGCTCATATTTGGTGGAGGTACTTAACTGGTACAAGGTATCCTCCTGTATATTAATCTGCCGTGCTTTAGTAAATCCCGAAATCCCCGCTTGGGCTCCCCTATTATTAAGGGTATCCTCTCACCGACACATAGTTTTTGAGGGGTTTCGGTGCGAAAGACGAGGTATTCACAAAACTCGTTGGAGGAGGCAATGTATTTACGGCTGCAGTGATATGCAGACCCGGACTCTTGATACACATTTTTATTCTTTGAGATTCCAATAGTTTCAGGAAGAGACCGCTGGCAAGACGTCTCTAAAACATCGAACTGTGCACTCGACGATATACATTTAAAAAAATATATACAATGTGGGGAATGACCTTGCGGATTCAAATCCGGAGAGCTCCATTAAATTCGTAATTGCAAAAAAGAATAAAAAAATATTTTCCGATTATTTGTCGTAAAAATCCTATTTTTTGTGTTTAACTCGCGATTATGACGCCATTTTTCAATATTTTTTTTTAATTCTTGTACCAATCGAAAGCCCAATCATTTTAGAAATTAACGGTATATCCAAAAAATTAATATTTTTATATAGGATTTGTCAGATTACTTAAAAAGAGGTGCGGTACCAAAACTGAGGTGACAATTTCAGCATCGAAAAAATTTTTAAACGGTTTCCGATTTATGATTTTTTTTGTGAAACGCCGATGCGCGCTAGCCCCAGCCGCATCTACTCTTCGCTTGCATCGCGGCCTGTCGTACGTGTATAACATCGTCTTTGTTTACATAAATAAATAAATAACATACAGGCAGAATTTTATAATAAAAAGCATTTATGATTGGAATGGTATGATTATTTGATTCATACATTTATTTGTACACAAACAATTTTCAGAAAAATAAACAAATATACGATCTTACTAAAGTTACTGGAAATGAATTTAGGAAAACTGGAGAAAACTTCAAATGGCGTATTATTAGAGTGTTCTCTAGTTTTTCCTGGATTTATTTCCAGGAACTATAGTTGGTAAACCTTAGTTTAGGTATGATAGGTAAATGTTTATTTACAATATAAATTAAAATATTTTTTTTAACAATTGATAAAAAAATTAATCTTTAATATTGTTAAATAAAAAGGTGAGAATTTATATTCCAAAACCTTGCAAATGCGTATAAATCTCAAGCGGATAGTTACCCTTAAACATAATAAATAAAAAGCTACGCTGTGCCGAACATTTTATTTTAAATTATGAAAAGGAAATACATTGCAATCTTCAAGAGGCAAAGGAGAGCCAATGCCCAAAAGTGTTACATTTTAATGTTATTAAATAATTAGCTATCAAGCCTAAAAAGTAAGTAAAAATAACAATAACTATATAATATTCAATATGGTACAATAAAATAATACAATAATATCAAGCCTAAAAAGTACCTAAGTAAAAATAACAAGTTCTCAGATTTGATAGCAAATTTTGCCAAAACCTGTCGTCTATTATAAATGTATCAATAAATAAATGTCTAGAATCAATTTCGAGTATAACTTTTTAATCTCCTATCAAGAAAGTAATATGAAAATATTTAAATCATCTTTTTTTAATCTTAATTGGAAATCCGTATTTAGAATATAAAAGACCTGCCAAACCTAATTCTAACTTAGCTCCAACTACGGGTTCTATTATAAATTCCATTATAATTCTTGTGATCACTGTTTTTATCTCCGTCAGGGCATAATTTTTACCTAAAAATTTAAAATTATACAAATTGCATAGGATAGGTACGTCATTTAACATGATTTATTTAGATTTCATTGAAATTGTGTATAACTTGTGTAATATTTCATGATTAACAACAACAAATTGGACAAATCAGAAAAATTTTAAATGTGTAATAAAGGAAATATGCCGATATGTGTATAAACATTTGTTTCGACAGAAAACATATAATAATGATTAATTAAAATTGAGACAAAATTCCACATAATAATAACAACAATAGTAATAACAATAACAAAAACAATTAAAAGTGCTGTTCCTAAAGTGGCGCTGGGAAACAGTAACAAAGCCTACACAGAACACGAGGCGAAATAACCCTGGTAGTTGAAGCCGATGACACACAAAAAAAAATAATAATATAACTAATAATAATAATAATAATAGCTACATTTTTCAACAACATATTAAGAACACCAGCAATAGCTCCCATTTTTCTTACCAAAGGTAATACGACAAATCCATCTAAATACAGACCTATTACATGCCTACTCACTCTATATAAACAACTTACATCGGTAATCGCTTCTAAAATTCAAGACCATCTTAATCATAACAACATCATGACAGAACACTGGTCTGTATTATTTTACTGGATATGATATAGCCCCTTAAAAAACGTTCCGAAAAATTGGCGGATTTGGGCAAATAATATGGCGGACCGGATGTTATTTAACATCACCTCTATTTCCAATTGTCATCACATTTGTCATTTAATTGTGTCAACAAGTTACGACGAGATGTTTTTTTTATGTATGTAGGTAGTATCGGATAGCATTACTATGATATAAACAATAAACGTTCATTCGTGAAGACACAATATGCTTCATGTTTCCATTTTTATATTTTCTTTCATAAAAAAATCAAACTATGGGTGAATTGTCCAGAAGGACATTGCCCGCAAAAGGAATAGAAGAAGAATAAGAAGAAAAACTAATCAAATTATAGGTTAGGAATGTCAGATTATCCCAAAATTCAGTTCTGTGATCCCACCATAATTTGCCCAAATCGGCCAGCAGTATTGCACTTCCGGTCTCCTTGGTGGAACGGATTTTTAGTATGTTTAATATAGCCTATATCCTATTTAGTAAAATAATACAGATCAGTGTGACAGAAGAACAGAAGGGATGCTATAAAAATTCAAAGAGATGGAAAGATCAAATTGTAATTGATACAGTAGCAGTAGATCAAGCTACTTAAAACCAAAGAAATATGAGCATGGCATATATAAACTATAAAAAGGCCTTCGACTCATTCATACTTAATCGAAATATTGAGGATCTATAAAATTAATCCAGCCATAACAAACTTTTTAGAACATATAATGACCAACTGGTTAACGGAGTTGCATTTTTTAGGAGACAAGACAACTCAAAAATCAGGATCGATCAAAATCAGATGGAGAATATTTCAGGGAGACGCACCAAATGCTTTATGGTTCTGTATGTGCCTAAATCCTCTAAGTCAAACATTAAACAACACGCAATATGGCTTTATTATTAAGAACGAACATGGCAATAAATGCAAAATATCCCACCTTTTATATATGGACGATTTAAAAATATATGCAAACTCTAGAACAAAACTTAATACTCTACTAAAAATTACTAAAAGTTTCAGTGACTCTATTCATATGGAATTTGGACTAGATAAATGCAAAATAATTGATCTTGAAAAAGGGACCTTAAATAGCTCTAATCATTTTAATATGGGCAACGATAAGGTCATAGAAAGTCTTAGCCCAGGAGACAACTATAAATACTTGGGAATCATGCAACTCAGAGGAATCAACCACAGTGAAATTAAAGTTAAGCTAATAGATGACTTTAAAAAAAGAATACAAGCAATATGCAAAACAAACCTCACCAGTGCAAACAAAATAAAAGCTGTAAATACATATGCCATACCGACATTAACATATTCCTTTGGTATTATAAAATGGTCCGCTACTGACCTGGAATCCATATGTCGAACGACTCGTGTAATATTAACAAAACATCAAATGCACCATCCCAACTCAGCTATAGAAAGAATATCATTACCAACAGATGTGGGAGGTGTAGGCATACTAGGTATCCACCGTCTTCACCAATCGCAAATTAAGTCTCTCAGGCAATACTTCCATTAAAAATCCACTAATCAGACCTTGTTTAGGGCAGTATGTCAAGCAGATACAAAAAGCACACCTTTAAAACTAAGTGATATCGAATATGACCCTGAAGATAATAAATTTTCGATCCAGTCCCAAATACAAAGATGGAAGCAAAAAACTGCACGGTAGTCACGCACATCACCTGCTCCACGAAAATATTGATACTGAAGCATCAAACCTATATCTAAGGGGAACTCTATTTGCTGAGTCTGTCGGATTCATAGGCGCCATACAAGACCGAGTAATAAATACAAAAAAAATTATATTGAAAAATCAAAATATCGTTGACAAATGTAGAAGGTGTGGATCGCCAAACGAAACCATTGAGCACATTATAGGCGGATGTCAAACGTTAGCACCAATGGATTACACGCAGAGACATAACAATGTGGCCAGAATTGTACATCAACAGCTAGCATAAAACTCGAGACTGATTAATGAGGACAAACCCTACTACAAATACGATCCTGCTCCTGTATTAGAGAACTTACAATACAAACTATTCGCTCCGTGCGAAGCAATGGTGCAAAGTCATGGAAAGGGAAGCAAAAGCGATACTAGCGCTAGCTGCGGATAATTCGTGCATTTTAGGGCGATATTTTGTAATTTTGGCATATTAAATACACGTATACATTTTACTTTTTTTCAAAAAAGTTAGTAAAAACATTACATTAAGCAACCGGAGTTGCTGTGTTGAAAATTGTACAAATATTAGCAAAAAACAATGAAACATATAAAAATTTTCAGTAGCAAAGTGGAAATTAAATCAAAGAAATAAATGGATAGATGAACAATAAAAAGAAAAATTACCTTTATTTTTGTAATAATAGCAGTAATGCTGGAAATAGTAGACTTCAGAAACTTGAAAGGTTTTAAATAAACAATAAAGTATCATTTTACGATGTTCTTTAATATCCCTTTATTCTTAAATGTTCATTCAGCAAGAACTAGATTTCAAGATTTCTGCCTTTGATTATTAAATGTGGCTAAAATGCAATCTTGTGACTTACTGATGGGAAACCAGTTTTAATCATTCATTCTATGTTTTCTTTCGAACAAAAATGAAAATATAAATAACGATCCTTTTTTTATACATTTTAAGATTTTAACACTATTATTAAATGGATTTTTTTTATTTTGACAGAATAAGCGAATTCTTCAATGACAACTTATTAGACTAAGGCAACTTCTCATACATTTTCCAGTAAATACTGTTGCCTGCCTATATTTTATTATTGATTTTTATTGATTATACGTAATTTTCTTTAATTTAAGCGACAAAAATATATAATAATAATAAATTAATGTTTCACTTGTTTTACAACACATCCATATACTTTTATTAAAACTATATACTTTTTAATTACGCATTCTATTAAAAATTGTATTTGTCAGTATACGCAGAAATAGTCCATTAGTACCAAAACCAATTGGCGCTGCTGTCGCGCACGGAGCGAATACTAGGACAGAGAAATACGCACTGACATCCGCATCAACGCTAATAGACCAGACATTGTAGTCTTTGATAAATTGAAGAAGGAAGTAGCAATAATAGACGTAGCAGTACCCCTCAGTCATAATATCCAAACCACATATGCTACAAAAATTAACAAATATCTCGAACTAGCTACGGAAATCAAACAAATGTGGAGAGTGAATACAGTTAAAATACACCCACTAGTAATATCTGCAACTGGAATTGTGCCTCTTACACTTACAAAACATCTAGAACAACCGAATGTAAAACACAACTTAACACAAATAAATAAATCTGTGGTGCTTAACACGTGTCATATTGTCCGAAGATTTCTTAGCCGAATCCAAGCATATAATGTTGGTGCACCAGCACCACAGAATACTGCAAAAATAACCCAGGTTAACCTGAGAAAATTATCTCAAATAATAATAATACTACTAATAATAATGCGAAGTAAAAGGGTATGTATCAGTTTAAAAGTAAACTAAAATAAATAAAAAACTTTAAGATAAAGTTAAGCTTAAGAACAATGTTTACATTAACGGAGTTACAATAAATAAAAACGAAAATAGATTAGAGATTTAACATATTTGTTATGGTGTTCCTGCTTTTATCAAAGATGTATATTTTTAATGATTTTTTAAATAAGTTCAATCTGTTAATCTCTTTCACTTGCTAAAGAAGATTATTATAAAATTTAGGAGCTAAATATAAAAATGAATGCTGACTAGAAGCTTCTCTATGACTCTCAGTATTTTCCAAGTCGAGCAATTCTTCTGCAGTAAATATTTGATTGTTAAGAACTAATATATTTCCTCTGATAAAACACTTGTATCTATTTTCTTCTTTTCTTAGCTTTAGGTAATAATATCTAAGTATTTTTTGTTCTTCACGTTGTTGCTCGGTAAGATCGTTTAAAATATTTATATTGGTATTCTTTAGTTTATAGCAGTTCTTAAGTATTTTTTTCTTTTGTAGAAATGTAGTTAATTCTACTTTAATTGGTCGATTGTTTGTTTTTCCAAGAGGGTAGTAATTATTTATTTATTTCGTGGTAAAATCTACACCTATAATCGATTTTATTTCTTCATAAATCAAATCGACTGTTAAGTTTCCAGCAGGTTTATTGAGCTCAAAGATTTTTTGATTCTAGCCTTTCGATGTTCTTTTTGAGTTCGTTATTTTCTTTAGATAATTGTTTTATTTTATTATTTTGTCCGTCTATTTCTAATCGAAGTCTTACCTCACTAGCTTCTATGACCTTTGTCAACTCTTCCCTAGTCCTTTTAATTTCGTCTAGAATTAATTTGGTCGATGAATTTCCCATTTTACAAAATTTG